TGTGTCAGCATCTCCACACAAGTCTGCCTTACCTCAATGAAATATGTCATAGCTAAATCATGAATTACCTAAATACAGATATGTTATATAGCTTTAGGATTTGCCAAGTTCTTAATTGAATGAAACTGCTAAACTCAGAGATCATTATAGAAAATAATGATAATGTTGTGCATATTTTAGGTGACATGTTGTCAAAACATCATATTTAATCCTAGCCTCTTCTGCTGCATCTTGGAGATGTTTCAAAATTTCATGGGTGCTGGAGGATGGAGATTTGCATGACTTTGTTTGTTTTAATAGCTGGGAACATGCTTTTTTTTCGGACTCTCCTTCTGAATCAGTTTGCCTGTTTAGTTCAGGCCTCTGCTTCTCCTTTTTTTCACTGGGAGCTCAGTTTGTGCTAACAGTTTTGGTTTAAATCTGGAATCAAAACAAGAGAACACATCCTCCATAGAACACATACAACTGACTGTCCGGCGTTTCTGAGCGGAAAGGGGAAAAAGAGTGCAAATTATTGATGGGGACATGTCCTCACCAGGCCAACGTCGGTGGGGACATGTCCACACCAATCCTTCAGAAAGTTACACTTATGGACTAATAACTGTTTAAGATGTACAGTAGATAGTAAATATGGGACAGTAAAGTCTTTAGGAGAAGATACTACAAGCTGTTTTAGGTTGTTAACGTTTAAAAGTTAGCATTTAGTGGTCTAAAACCTTTTCACTTATTTCCTGTCTCTAATGATCACTTCATAGAATGCCTTTTTTCTTTTATTTTTTCCGATTCCTGTCTGGCAATGTGGTAATAATTGGTAATAATGGTAATAATGGTAATAATTATCTTGATGCCAAAAAGAGCCCAACAGATTTTACTTTCATCAGTGGAGCAGTACGGCTTTAGCCGTAGTGTTCTGCTTGATTTATGCATGTAAATAACTTTAATATAATTTATGCAGGGAGTGTTACAGATTATATGGACAGATAAAAGAAAGAGGAGATAAAAGGGAGACAATGATAAAACGTCTTCAGTCTGCTTCATCACCCGCAGAGAGAGATGTAAAAAGAACAACACAACCAACAGATATAGTATAGGAGATACAATAAAGTAACACCTTGATACTATCGCTGAAGTATAAGTAGTATTACTTCATCTGACATGTATACTCTGGTAGCTGAAGATAAAAATATGGGCTTTCTGTATGGAAGTGAATCTCTAAGTACCTGGAGCCAAGCACTTGTAGTTGTTTGTGAGAGTGCACTTGCGCATATAAAGTTTATCCAAAGGAAAAATGCTCAATAGTGGTTGGGAAGAGCCAAAGACGCACCCCTCCAGAGCACCGAGGCAGGCGCCGGGGGACCCAAAACCCGAGGTGCCCAAAGGGATGCCCAGAGCAAAGGCGTCCAAGAGGGGCCAACCCAGGAAACCCCCGCAACAGTCCCACGCCAAGACCCCAGACCAGGTGGCCTGCACTTCCTCAAGGCTGGGTGGCAGCTGTAGAACAGGGGTGTGAGAAAGACCCCGATCCTTCCTGCGCCCCCTCAAATATTTTGTGGTACCAAAGGCCTGGCTCAGTCCACCCCCCATACAGACAACCTATTCTCATTATGAAATCGTACGAAAAGTTCTGCACCGTAAATTCGTACGTTTTGGACGTTTTTTTCGTCGCATGCGCATCTGACGCACCATTCACGAATCTAGAATATAAATTACAATTAGCCCTAACCCTGACCCTAACCCTAAGATATAAAACAGCAAGCAGCGTAGTTAGAGACATGAATAAGTGATGATTGCACTGTTTTTCCCAGTTTTCCGTCCGTCCGCGGATCTGCTTTTTTTTTCTGTCTGCCAGCGCGTGCGCACTGATGTGGTTTTTTGAGGAAGAATGTCCAAAACGTACGAAATAGTGTGCATAACTTTTCGTACGATTTCATACGCACTGATAATGAGAATATGTTGATACAGAAGGTAGACACTCTGACGCTTACACGGCTTTTGATATGAACACACCATTAAAGTTGGTGTTGATATTTTTATTTAATATCAGCAAAGCTTGATCTATCACTTTACTTTGAGATAATGCAGGATGGTTGGGCCCTATTTAGTAGATGTGTCAGTTGTCGGCACCAAACCAGCAGATAGCATACATGTCTATTTATGATCTGCTTAGTGCCCCTGGTGAAGAAATTCTATTTAGGCTCATGAAGGACAATCTGAACAGCATTATGGTGGATGATTGGTGTATATAACCTTATTTTATCATGATCAAATGGTTTTTGGTATTTCTTTTTATAGGAAAATGATGGAACTATAAACCTTTAAAGTTAAAGACAAAAGCAGAAAAGAAAAGGCATCGGGTCTAAAGAAAGTTAGTCAGATTACCGTACAAGAAAATCTGATTCATTTGAAGGAAAATGTAAATAAATGACTGGAAGGTGGAACTTTGTTTAAAGTCAGTCTTCTCTGCTGTAAAGTTCTCTGAAAACAAATAAAGCTCTTTTCTTTCTTTTTTAAAGACGTATTTTGTTAAAGGCATCTGTCAGATGGGAGTCTTTCATGGTAAATCATTGTGTGCTCAGGTGACAACGACGGCTAAAATAGTATCACCTCTGAGCGTCTACAGTTACATCAGACAAGTCCAATACTTCCTCCCACTCCCCACTTCAGTTGGTCTCCCATTGTCCTCGACAAAAGAACCTGACACTTTGAATTGCAGGATGTGATGGATCGCCTTTGAGGTCAGAAGCCTTTACCTGGTATACTGGTTTCCTCCCATCCTAACTTGTGTGAAGATGAGGTGGGGAGGCTCAGAGCCATTGTGGGAAAGATGCTTCTGAGGGCTGGTTCTTAGTTATGCAGCATATATTATGCTTAATGTAGAATATCAGGTGTGGGAATTGCAAAAAGAATGAGAAAATTAGCAGAAAAAATATGCTTCTTCTTCAAACTGAAAAAAATGTTTATCAAATCAATGCTATAATAGAGGCATTTTGATTTATAAATCTGTTATTCTCTTCTAAATGTGTTCAAACCCATTTTGAAATCCTCTTTTTTTTAAAACCATAAAGCCACAAACCGCAAACCGTTTTAATGGAATTTAATAACATATCCACACGCAAAGTAAAAAATGATGTTAATGTAAAACAAAAATGATCCATATGTTTCTAGACGCTTAACAAATAAACTATCCAACACTCATGTAGTGTCACCTCGCCTTGATCCTGAATTACAGCTTTAATATTCAAAGTAAATCAAGCTCGAACATCTGCTAAATAGACTTAAGAGTTATGGTCATTCCACTTATGCACACACTGTTGGTGGTAAGCTACACTGTAGCCACAGCTGGCCTGGGGCACACTGACGGAGGAGAGGATGCCGTACAATCAGCACCATCAACAGCAGGCAATGAAGCTTGCTGCCTAAGGACTGAGACAGCTGAAGCAGAGGCTCGAACCGACAACCCACCAGCTAAAAGAACCCGTTCCTCTTAAACTGTAATAGTTGTAACCGAATTTAGGTCTGGACTTTAACTAGGCCATTCTAATTCATTAAAATTACTTGATCTAAACGGTTCTACTCCCCAGACTGCTGCATCCATCAGCCTCAAAATTCTGGTGCTTCCCTGGTGCTGCTGAAGAGAAGCGTTCCCTTAGCATCATACTACTACCACCATGTTTTGCCATTGATGTGGTGGTGATAGTCACGCCTAATTTTGGATTTCTGCTGCCCATAAGTTTGGTTTATATATAACCAGACCACTTTCTTGTACATTTTACCCCCCACATGACTGATAAAGTTTCCTCAATAATAGTTTCCTATTTATTCCTAGATAAAGCTGAGATTACAGTCCGGTGAATAAATTGTAAATGGGATGCAAAGGCATGATTTTAAGATTTAACTCTGAGATCATTTAAATAGTGCTGCACCGATACCAGTATCTGGCGGGGCCCTGATCCAGCACCAAAATGATGGTATCGGTAACGGCGAGTACCAACAAAGCAACATATTCTCATTATCAGTTCGTATGAAATTCGTTCGTACGAAAAGTTCTTCACAGTATTTCGTGGGTTTTTGACGTTTTTCCTCGAAAAAACATATCAGTGCGCATGCGCAGTTGAATGGTGCGTAAGATGCGAATGCGCACTGATATCTTTTCTCGAGGCAAGACGTAAAAATACGACGAAATACGACGAAAAAAACGTCAAAAACCTACGAAATACTGTGCATAACTTTTCGTACGATTTCATACGAACTGATAATGAGAATACACTGAACAAATAGGGCACTGATACCATTTTGAGAGCCAAAAGTTTATTCAACTATTGTCACCCATTCCAGGTAGGCAATAAAAAGTTCTACAGGATTCACTTTGTATTAGTCTTTTTCCTGCTTTCCAAAGGTAGGCAGCAGCTTGACAAAGCCATGATGGCAATTATTTTACATCCAAGTAGCAGTTATTCATACATACACGCACACACATATCAATGATATCTGTATCAGGTATCAGGTCCAAAAAATGGCATTGGTGCAACACTAACTTTAACAACTATATATTACACCCCTTCCACTTGAGATATAAGTCAACTGGACAGTTGCATACAATTAGGATAAAATACAATAACTTTATTTGGAGCAGAACTTGGGAAAGTTCATAAAGTTGTTGCAGACTCTATGTTTCCTGGATCACTACCTCTGTAGCAAAAGGGAAATCTCATAATGTTTAATCTAAATTATCGAGTAAAAATACAGGTTAAAATATAATATTGTGAAGGTGGAAACCTTCCCTCCATTCTCACAATGACCCTTTTGAGAAGCCAAACTGTCTTTTTCTTTGCCTTCTTTTCCCTCATTTTACCTCGTAGTAAAACGGGTCAAGTGTTCAGTTAAAACACACAGTGTATAATTTTATAGCCTTTTCCCGGCGGAGGCTCCTGGAGTCCTGCAGGGGTGGAGGAGCGGCAGCGCAGATCAGTTTCAGTCTTTGTCAGACGCTGAATGGGGGCGGAGGAAGAAAACTCATTAGAGTCCTATAAAAAGAAAGTATCTGAGATCATAAAGGAGACTGCTGGAGGACTAAGAGCCACTCAGAGCCTGACGGAGACACGCTGCAGACGCTCACTCCTTCATCCTGAGAACTTCCCTGCGCTTTTCCCCACAGCTCCATCAGTGCGCTCTGTGCGCTGCGCATGGACACTGCACCGGCGCGCGCTTCTAGCTGACAAATATAGCTGCTTCCACAGGATAAAACTTTTATTTTTTTTTTTTACCACGGTAATAATTTAGAGGATGATCGTCTCAGCTTGGAGGAGATGCTGTATTGTGATGTTTCTAGTCGCTTGTGTGAGGACGGCGGCATCCCAGGTGTCAGAGGCGCGCCCCAAAGCGAACTCCATCAGGCCCTCTTCCCTGGAGGAGACACCGACCCCGGCAGCGAACCGGTCCGCCCTGCTCCCCAGGAAGCTCCGGCTCCCACAGCAGGTACGCTTTTATAACTGCTGTTGGTTTGAAGCACAAATCATTTTTTAATCTTTATTATTTTCTGCTAAAATTCTGACTGATTCGCAGTTATAAGGGCTGCTTCACAGCCTGGCTTGATCTGATGTGAATCAGATTTTAAAGCCTTTAACCTCAAAGATTAATTCTGCATTTATTACAGACTGATTGATTAGTATTTGTAAAACTTTTACTGTATTTTCTTCAATTAACTAAAAGGTTTCCTTCACCTGCTTTTCTGGGACATTTATTTAGTCATCCTTAGATCATTTCAGAGTTATTTCTCTTTAGACCTGACCATCAACACCACCTCTGATTACACCCAACACATTTAAACCTGTTGGTGGTTGGAGATATTCATGTTTGATCTGTTTAGAAATGTTTTTCTTCCACATTACAAAAGTGTTTTTATGCCACAAAACTGCTTTGCTTTCTTGCAGAAAAAAATGATCTCCAAAAAATTCACCAAATGTATTTCTAAGCTTAGTTGTTCACTCTTGAATAACTCATTGTAGAGTTTCTTATGAAGGATTTATTGCATTATACCATAAAGGTGAACTTCATGTTAAGAAAAACCCTTAAAATGTGTATTTTTTTGTTTGTAACAGCAAAAATATAGTAAATACTTTACATATTTTACCCATAAGATACTTTCATCAGTGAAGAATCTGATCCAGGTTGAATTTTTCCTAAACCAGACCCCATTTAAAGTTGTCTTGAAGTCCTAAAAAGCGTTCTCTTTAGAAGTAAAACATTTTCCTAACCACAGGGTGTGTTGGAGGGAATTACTCTTTAATGTGTGATAATTTAGACCAGTCTATGTGGGAGAGCTTTCACCTTAATGCTGAACTAGTCCTCTTAAGAACTTTTACAAGGTTTAACTCCCACATTAATGTTCTGAAAAGCATTGAACCCCCCCCCCCCCTTTTTTTTTTTTTTTTTTTTTTTTTTTAAATAT